AATGTAAGCGGAGTATTTGTAAGGCGTAGTGATCTTACCGATAATAATTTCACAGTGTATTAACGAGTGACTTACTGGCGCGAATGAGTGAACATTTCTAACATATAGAATTATACCACCGCCTTTTCTATTTTTGCGCAACATACTGTGCATTCTATAGCCATTAATATTAAACATAGAAACTATATTGTTATTTATGTTTACTTCGCTTAAGATTAAAATATCAATAATCATTTTAGAAGAGTTAATTAATTGTGTTAAATAGCAAAAATTTTTTATCAAAGATCTTATGTTAATGTGGACAATATTAAGATAGATTTTATAAATAGGGGGTATATGCAAGCGAAAGTTGTTAATATCTGCACAATTTAATATTTCTTCATGATCAGAAAAGAGGACTTGGGTTTCTAATTTTGAAATCTATTACCGCTTGGAACTTTGGCCGATTATTTCCGTTAGTGCTGAGAGCTTCTCAATGTCAGCTTCGCTTCGAGCGACCTTAGGCTTGGATTTGTCTTCTTTACGTAGTAGCACCTTTCCATCTTGGAACCAGACGTATTTGTAGGCCGGTCTTAGTTTTTGTTGTGCTAGCCATAATAACGACTTATTGGCTTTGGTCAGGGCGCGTCGTATGATCACTTTCATCTTAGCAACTTCCACAGGGGCCTCGGAGATGATTTGTTCTACCACTACTGCTTCCTTTTTCGAGGCTTGCACCCATAAGCTTACATTTTCTGCATGCTTTAACTGCACCTGGATGTTTCCATCTTGGTTATTTGGACTTTCTACACGTGTAATATTCACTACCTGCGTCCTGTCCATGTTGAGTGTCTCAGCTAGTTTGAGAGATATATTTACAAGGTTTTCGTCTTTAGCTTTAGGAATACCTATCACTTCTATCACATTGTTTAAACGCTGTTGTTCAATATTACGTAGATATTGTTTCAGTGAGCTCATTTCAAGCTCAAGATGGGTTTTTTCGTTATGAAGGTAGTTTTACTTCTTTTCTAATTCCTGGATATGTTTGTTTTGAGCTTCCACAATTTTGGAAAGATCATCAATTTTTGTGCAACAGAAGCTCACTGATGCTTCGATTGGTTGAAGTTCTTTCTTTAAAACTTTTTTCATTTCTGCTGTTATATCTTTTAAAAACTTCTCTGTGTCTATCATACAATTGCCGGAGTTATTGTCAGAGACTGCGACATCATTGTCTTCATCGTCGTCTTCCGGAATAATGAAGGATGACTTTCTGTTAGGTGTATTCTGATGGCACTCTTCGCATGTCCAGTCTAGTGTGTCCGCATTACGAAGCGCAGATAGTTGCTTCGCGTTGAGACCAGAGCAAGCTTTACTAGCATGAACCACCTTGCCACAGGATCTGCATTCCAGTCCGGGTATCTTTGTGGTTATCCCTTTGTTACAGATGTCACATTTAGTCATTTTCTTTTCGTATTGAAATTTTATTTAGGAGGGTAGTTACCAAACGTATAGAATAGTGATAACACAGAACCGACACACACAGCAGCACGAGAACGAATGACATAGCAGTGTCTGTTATAAATATATTGATCACACTTAGCAGAATTCGAAAATGACAACGTTTTTCGATTTAAGTCAATGTGGCAACTTTCGAAACTGCCTCACTGATCGAGTGGTCACAAATTTGCCGGGTTTGAGTCCCAAGTTGGACCAAAATAAATCAGTTATTAACTGATAGAAACACTTATATCCTGTCTTGGCTAGACCTCGTTGAGACCAGCCGCCGTAACAGGTAAGTTACCAAACTTCTTGATGGTTCATGAAGTTGCAAACTAAATACGCCCTAGTACCTACTCGGCAATTAGTACATCGTGCTACTCCAGTACGTGTTTTTAAACATTTTATTTCTCAGACTTGGTTCGGGTTCCATTAGAAATTAGATGACTAATTAGTAGGACCTATGAGGCTGTTTTCCTTTCTTACCGAGCACGTGGTAATTTTAACTCAATATCGTAATATATTATTTCATTGGTATATGTGCAACATAAACATTCAAACCACAATTTATGAAGCGGGAATTGAGCCTTTTAAAAAAGTACTATCAAAATCGGCTTACAATAGACAAAGGTACCACGTAAACACACAAAAACAGTCGAACTATAAACTGAACATGAACTGTGATGATCCTAATGAATATATTCATATATGATATATATACTCACGCCAAAAATTACTCTTTTTAAGGCATACTGCCAGTGTTCCTATTCTTGCTTCCTATGGGTTAACTACAAACAAAGGGCGTATAAGGCCTTAAAGTTGCAATATAATGGATTTAGAGTTATTTGGGGCTGACCCAATTTCCCAGCGCTTCGGGCTTGTTGTGATAATACTGGGGGTAATAGCACAAACAGATGACTTACCTGTGCATGTGTGTGTGTATCATGTTACCTCCATCGTTCACCCATCTGTAGGTACGTTTATTAATATTTTGTGGTTTTTATAACTTCTTGTCTAATATGGATCTCATTTGTTATCCGAGTTTCAAAAACTGCAACAGGAGAAGACTGCAGCATCTTCTGGTCAACAACTAAGTAACCAGCCCTCTTATCACCACCAGCGACGACCAGTCACGGACACGGTTCCTTTAGGAACTGCACTGCACGTGGACTCCACGGACCGATAGTCTCTCTTTTTATATTGTAAGTATAATTTACTTTTAAAAAAGTCCCCCTGGTTTTCTTGCTGCTTCTTTCCAGGACAGAGGTTTTTTTACAAACAAGTGGTAAAAGTTAAAAATGGCCTTCAATAAGACTTGCATGTAATCTATATTGAATAAAAAAATACGTGTGGCACTCGGTGGCTGCCGCGATAAAGCATACATAAGCACACATAGCATTTTTTATCAACTTATGCAATTATAATTATTTATTTATTTTATTTATGCAGTTAAGTCTTTGATATTAAATCAAGTTACACTTTTTGAGCGTGGTGACCGATAAGAAAACAATTTTTTTTTCTCTTATTGAATAAATGAGTTAATATTGTTTAAAATATTTTTAATATCTTACAATACATGTAGGTTATTCAGGAATTTTTATCATTGAGTTAGCAGCTAGTGTACACGCATAAGTCTAGTCGCACGCACACAAACACCGTGCCGAACTCTGCCGAGTGCTGAAGTCTGCCGAACTGAAACGACGTTAGACGATGCACGGCTTTCAACGCCACACCTCCGTGCCCGTCGGAGTGGGGAGGCGTGAGGTTTTTTTCGTTACGGAATTTCTGGATTCGGTCCCCGCGCTCAAGGCCCGCGATAGAAGCTATGCAATAGCTTAAAATATATTCTATTTTCTATTCTCTATACAGAACTGTATCCTACATTATGTGCCATTAAATTTCGTAACTTAAAAAAAAGCACGATATCATTATCCTTTAATTAAAGATATGAAAATTAATTAGCTAAGATTCGCGCGCAATAGTGAAGTTCTTCATTCTTCGTCAACGACTCTGTGGCGCAGTAGCTTTGCAATGTCTAGCGGCGCTGAAGAACTCGGATTTGAATCCCGCACGAATCAAGTATTATATGGTCAACAAATTATTATTCCGGTTTATGTTTGCGAAATTCATGTATAAACTGCCTTCACGAGACAGTAAAAAATCCTACTATAAAACGATTTTTTAAGAAATTATTAATAAATAAGTCTTCATCGGTTCGTCAACGCTTACATAGGTTTCCTCTGTTGTGGGGAGGAGTTGGCTTATGCCCGATTATTCAAGAAACAATGCGGTCTCCGCAACGATCCGTTTAATTACTTATGAGGCGCGTATAAGACAGGTTGTATTACAAACTATTTATTCAGCAACTAAGGATGACTTAAAATGAGTAAACTTATACTCATAAACAGTTGAACTGGTATTTTGTTTTCAACAAATAGTTTTCATGCAGTTCATTTACTGTAAAACGTCTCGTATAAAAACGAATCGTTTTTAAATATAGAAACCGGGCATTATTTGTCGCTATCGACAGGTGAATTATCGATCGCAGTATCAAACGGCTGTCACACGCCGTAGCCGTAGCCGATCCTGGTATTTAACATCGTACGTAACATGACGATAAAGAAAAATCCTCCCTTCCCTACAATGGTAGAGGTTCATGTTCAGCATTGGACTAACGAACCAATAATGATTATTCTTGAATATTCTTGACTTGACATTGCAGAGCTATGCTGCAGCCACATTAGTTGTATCACGAATGGGTCGGCTTGACTGGGTAAGCACTACGCTGTACAGAACACCAGCGTCCAATAGCAACTTAATGCTGCTATGTTTCGTATGGTGAGTGAAGAGGACTGGGGACCTTTTTTATGAAATCTAGACATTCCATCTTAGTCCTAAGCACTGACAACGCATCTGCATTTTGATTCTTAATCGAGAACAGATGTAGATATCTACGGGCCACACACATCCACTTACCATCAGGTGGAATTAGTATTTAGTATATAGTTTTGTATGTTCATTGGCAACCTGCAATAAAAATGAAAAAAATTGAAAATATTCCTAAAAACTGACATTTAAGGAAAAAAATTAAAGGTTTGTATTTGTTATTGTGTTGAAATATGGCAACTCTAATTTATCAGATATATTCAACAAGTCAAGAGCTGCATCTTCCTGATATTCCTACTTTTTATGGCGTATCAGAATTATACATTATATAATATACAATATATTATATTATTTCATCAAGATATTTGATTACAAATTGTTTGTTAACAGGTAAAAGTAGCTCGCCTACAATATAATAATAATAATAATAATAATAATAATCATCCATCGCCCGCTGATATAACGGTTATGTGACAAAACCGCTACGTCGGCGCAGTCAGTCAGCACCTTGCCAAGAGGTGTTAGTGCCGTGCCTCGGCAAAAATTGAAGGTGCCAAGGCCCGCTTGTGCACATGGCCTAACCATGAAACGGCGCCGGGTCTGGGCGTCTCCCGCTAAATGACGCCCTAAAATGGATGATGGAATCAAATGGAACGCGCAAAGGGCCGCTGCCTGGAGGTCGCCAGGGCGCGTCTGGAGCTGGCGCTGGACGCGACAGCATGCGAACCGCCAGCCGAGCGCGAGGTGCTGCACGACCACCCAGCAGCTCCTCGCATCCATCATCCCCACCAGCTGGCTTGGTGTCAGCAGGGTCTTCGCGGGCTCAGCAATCGGCACCCGCCACTGGTGGAGTACGCCGCATGCGTTGGACAACCCAGATGAACAGCAACGCATTGCGGGCGTATTTTAGGGCGAAAGGGGGAGAAACTGGAGGTTTTGCGTATCGGGCAAGGATGCATCGACTTTTTGCTGAGCTGGAGCCATCTGTAACCGTCACCGAGCAAAACCTGGCAGACCGAGTTCGGTATATCTTGCGCTCAAATACATTTGATGTCACCGAACTCGAACGGCTACGACGTGAGGCTGTTCCTTCATCGGGTGAAAATGCTGCGGCTGAGGATGCGGCGCCACAACTTGCTGAGCAAACGGCAAATCTGGATGCCGCCGTGAATACGCCAGTTGTGGTTGATTCAAACGATGATGGAACAGTCGCCCAGGAACTGGAACTAGAGCAAATGAGGAGTACATTGGAAGAGGCGATTGTGGAAACGCGCAGTACGACTCTCGAAAATCGACCGCGACTTCCCCGCTTAGCCCTAAGCAAGCGGAATCGGGCTGTCGTGAGGGCTCTGAACCCAATGCTGGTTACCTATTTGGAAGCCAGCCGGGACCTTTGCGATACGGACTCAATTCTTTTTGGCGCCGCACTGGCAGTCTGCCGTATTATAGGTGCCAAACTTTCCACGGCTGGACGCGCTACTGGACAAAGTAGTGCTATCCCAGCCTGGAGAATAAGAATTGAAGAACGTATCGCAAAGGCTAGGGCCCTCATCGGCAGACTGATATGCTTCAGGTCAGGCAATACCAGGCCAAGGATTGTGCGCACCGTCAGGATGGCGTTTGCTGGGACAAATGTTAGTTTGTCCCAGCCGGATATAATGCAAAAACTGACGGAGCCCATAGACGACCTGAAGCAAAGAATAGCTGCTTGGGGAAAGCGGATTCGGCGATATACCGAGAGGTCGACACGGTTCAACCAGAATCGTCTCTTCCAGAGTGATCAGAAGAGGCTCTATAAATCATTGGAGCGACCAATAGTAAGTGGAACGGGCCCTGCACCAAATCAGGCCGACATGGTCGCATTCTGGCGCAGCCTGTGGTCAGAGTCGGTAAACCACAACGAGGGCCCTTGGACGGAAGTTGTGGCGAGTCAGTGTGCGAGTATTACGCCCATGGACCCCGTCATCATAACGCCGGATGACGTAGCTGAGGCGGTCCGTAGGGCCCCGAACTGGAAAAGTCCGGGGCTTGACGGGCTGCATCACTACTGGCTGAAGGGGTTCATGGTGTGTCACTCTGTGCTCGCCCGACAGTTTCAAGAGGCTCTCAACCAGAAGTCGCTCCCAAGCCTCTTCACTACTGGGATCACTCATTTGGTTCCTAAAGATCAGGGTGCCACAGACCCGAGCAAATACCGCCCCATCACGTGTCTACCGACCATATACAAGACACTAACATCCATTTTGAGCGCAAGAATCGCTCGTCACCTGGACTTAAATCAGGTGATGTCGCGCGCTCAAAATGGATGTCGGGGCGGCGGTCGTGGAACCAAGGAACCACTCCTCATTGACGCGGTCATTGGCAAAGTGGTGAAACGCAACCGTCGGAACTTCTCCGCCGCCTGGATAGATTACAGAAAGGCATTTGACTCGGTGCCCCATACATGGCTAAAGAGGGTCCTCGAGCTGTACAAGATTGACTATACAGTTCGAGACTTCCTCGAGCAGTGTATGGGGCAGTGGAGTACGATCCTCTGTCATCTAGGCGAGCGGATGACGGCTGCGGAAAGCCGCATAAGGATAAGAAGGGGTATATTCCAGGGCGACTGTCTGAGTCCAATCTGGTTCTGCCTCTCTTTGAACCCTCTCAGTACTTTACTGGAGGGCTCCGGGAAGGGATTTCAGCTTCGGAAAGGAGGTACAAAAGTGACCCACCTTTTTACATGGATGACCTCAAATTATTCGCCTCCAGTCGCTCCCATCTTATGGAATTGCTAAACATCACGTGTGAATTTAGCAATTCTATTAGAATGGAGCTGGGGACGGATAAGTGTGCGGTCCTCCATGTTGAAAGGGGAAGGGTTGCTGACTCTGAGGGCATAGACTTATCTATGCCCGTCAACTTAAGAACCCTTTCCGAGGCTGAAACATACCGATACCTGGGTATGTCACAGAACATCGGTATCGATGAGGCTGGTATGAAACAGTCAGTTTGCGACGTGTTTTATGCACGCTTGACCAAAGTGCTTAACAGCCTTTTGTCCGGTGTGAATAAGGCACACGCATATAACGGTTGGGTCATGCCTGTCCTCATGTATACCTTTGGCATACTCAGGTGGACTCAGACTGAACTTAACGCCCTGGATAGAAAAGTCCGCACTACCATGACGTCCCATAGGATGCATCATCCGAGATCGTCGGTAATGAGGCTGTACTTGCCGCGGAAGCATGGTGGTCGTGGCTTCTTGAGCGCGCTCACCATGCATAATCGCGAAGTGTGCAGCCTCCGTGATTACTTCCTTGCGAGATCGGATGATCCATTCTATAAGGACGTCATTTCTTGTGATAAAGGACTTACCCCTCTATCCTTAGCCAACGAGCAATGGCAAGACCCGGCAGTGCAGAGCATTTCCGACCGGGAGACCGTATGGAAGGAGAAGGAGCTCCACGGGAGGTTCTACAAGGCTCTACATGAGCCTTTCGTAGACACAGTAGCCTCCCCTCCACTGGCTACGCTTTGGTGATCTCTTCGGGGAAACCGAGGGTTTTGTCTGTGCAATACAGGATCAGGTTATTAAGACCAACAACTATCGGAGATACATCCTAAAGGATGGCACCGTCGACATCTGTCGAGCTTGTCGCCATCCCGGTGAGTCACTTAGGCATGTTATCTCCGGTTGTTCGGCGCTTTCTAACTCTGAGTACTTGCACAGGCACAACCTAGTAGCCAGAATTCTACACCAGGAGCTCGCTCTGAAATACGGTCTCGTGGATCGGAAATTGCCGTATTACAAGTACTTGCCGGAAGCCGTGCTCGAAAATGATCGCGCCAGGCTCTATTGGGACCGGGCCATCATCACAGACAGGACTATTCTTGCGAATAAACCTGATATTGTGCTGATGGACCGGGCACAGTCAAGGATATTTTTGGTCGACATTACCATTCCGTATGACGAGAACCTCGTGAAAGCCGAAACAGACAAGAAAACAAAATATCTGGACCTGGCTCACGAGGTGGCCGACATGTGGGGTGGTCTGCCGACCGAAATTATTCCTGTAGTCGTCTCTGCAAACGGGCTAATCCCAGTCAGCCTCTCGGGTCATCTGAGGCGGCTGGGACTACGTGGCGGACCGCTCCAGGTTCAAATGCAGAAGGCGGTGCTCCTCGATACCGCCCGCATCGTCCGCCGGTTTCTTTCCCTTTCCCCCTAACCCTCGGCCGTTTGGTCTCCCCTGCCGAGGGCCTCCATCTGGTTGGGCTTTTACTTATTTATGTACTTTTATATTTAATTTATGTTATTGATATTTATGTATATTTATTTTTTCATTTTCATTTATAATTATATATTTATAGAACCCAACCAGATGAGAAAACTATATAGATACCCCATAATAATAATAAGTTGAACATAATACTCATGCCAACTGGATACAAACCGAAACTAGAAATAGCAATTTAAACATTCAAGAAATGTCTTTTGAGCATATCCCAATAGAAACATTTAAAAAGGTAATTAATAAGTTGCATAATTGGAAAGCACCTGGATCAGATTTTGTTCACAATTACTGGTATAAAATTTTTACAAGCATTAATAGTTACCTTTATAATCATCTTAATGAATTTATAGTAAACCCTTTAACAATGCCAGCTTACATGACAGTCGGGATTACGTACATGATACCAAAAGATCATAATGATCATAATAACCCTGCAAAATACAGGCCTATAACATGTTTGCAAACTGTATATAAAATCCTTACATCATGCGTATCTGAACTTATATATAAACACATTAATGACAATAGTATACTGGCCGAACAACAGAAGGGATGTCGAAAATTCAGTCAAGGCTGCAAGGAACAATTAATCATAGACTCTGTTATACTGAAACAAGTTCAGAAAGAGAAGTCCGACTTGTTTTCCATGCACATTGATTATAAAAAAGCTTATGATTCAGTCCCCCATTCGTGGCTAATAGAAGTCCTGAAGATGTACAAAATACATCCAAAACTAATCATTTTACTAACATCATTGATGAGTCTCTGGAAAACACGATTAATACTCACGACTCCGACTAAAATGATAGAGACCAATCCAATAAAAATACAGAGAGGAGTATTCCAAGGTGATGCACTGAGCCCATTGTGGTTCTGTCTTGCTATAAATCCCCTATCTAAGTTATTAAATTCATCTGCAGTAGGTTATCCCTTACATTATACTGATAACAATAACATTCGCATAAATATTAACCATCTACTTTACATGGATGACATAAAACTTTATGCTGATACGGAAAATCACTTAAATCAATTAGCTTACCTTACGGAACAATTCACAAATGACATAAAAATGGAATTTGGAATAGATAAATGCAAAATAAACTCGATAGCAGCAGGACATAACTATCAACAAAATTTTACTATGGAAACTGGAGATAAGATAGAACCACTAGATGAAAATGAGGCATATAAGTATCTAGGTTACAACCAGTCACGACAAATACACTATAAATATACTAAAGAAAAATTGAAACAACAGTTCCGACATCTTATCAACACAATACTAAAGAAACAATTAAACGCTAGAAATACAATAAAGGCCATCAATACTTTTGCTGTACCAGTACTCACTTATTCCTTCGGTATTATCAATTGGGCAAAGTCTGATTTAAAAGCTCTACAACGGATTATAAACACAACACTGACCAAATTTCGCAAACATCATCCAAGGTCTTGCTTACAGAGACTGACACTGCCAAGAAAAGAAGGTGGCAGGGGAATAATCGATATATTAAACTTACATAACAAGCAAATTACGACCCTCAGACAATACTTCTTCAACAAATCAGAATCTTCCACACTCTACAAGGTTATAGTACAAAATGATAGTAAACTAACACCCTTGAACTTAAAAGAAAACACTACACAAAACTCCGAAAAACTGATCGACAACAAAACAAAAATCACCGAGTGGGCTGATAAGTCTCTACATGGAAGACATCGACATGATATAAGCCAAAATAATGTCGACAAAGAAGCATCGAAGCATGGCTGATTCATGGCGAACTTTTCCCAGAGACTGAAGGCTACATGATTGCTATACAGGATCAAGTAATAGAGACCAGGAACTACCAAAAGCATATTATAAAAATCTTAACTTCTGATACGTGCAGAAAATGCAACAATTGTCCAGAAACTATTCAACACATCACAGGTGCGTGTAAAGCAATAGCCCAAACAGATTACAAACACAGACATGATCAAGTTGCAAATATTATTCATCAAAAACTAGCCCACCAACATAACCTAATAAACTCTATTGAACCCTATTATAAATACAACCCAGAAAGCGTATTAGAAAACCCCAAAACGAAGATATACTTTGACCGCGCTATCCTCACAGATCGGACCATTCACTGTAACAGACCAGATATTACATTGATAAATAAAACTAACAAAACCGGATACCTTATAGATATAGCAGTCCCTAATACGCACAATCTACAAACTACAATAGCTGAAAAACTCTCTAAATATGCAGAACTTAAAGATGAAATAACTCGACTCTGGCATCTTCAAAAAGTAATTATAGTGCCCATTGTCCTATCGACAACCGGCGTAATACCGAAGCAATTACACCAATCTGTAAAAACTTTAAATTTACCACCCAATACATACAAACTTTTACAGAAAGCTGTAATACTGAATACATGCAGAATAGTTAGGAAGTTCCTGCAAACTGAAGAACAAACCATACCTCCTATACTTAGACAAATTGCCTCACAACCTAACACACAGGTAACTGAATAAGGTAGTTCACAGGATAGCACCAAATCCAGCACTAATATACACTTGGCTTAGGCCCGTGCTATTAGTAAACCGGTAAAAGCCGAGATATGAAAGCAAACAAATAAAAGTATCAAAAAAAACCCCCCCCCCAAAAATGTATATTTATCTTTTCATTTAATTTATAATTATATATTTATAGAACCCAACCAGATGAGGAAACTATACAGATACCCCAATAATAATAATAATAATAATAATAAAGACGTAGGGAAGTGACGACCCCATCGCCCGCTGATATAACGGTTATGTGACAAAACCGCTACGTCGGCGCAGTCAGTCAGCACCTTGCCAAGAGGTGTTAGTGCCGTGCCTCGGCAAAAATTGAAGGTGCCAAGGCCCGCTTGTGCACATGGCCTAACCATGAAACGGCGCCGGGTCTGGGCGTCTCCCGCTAAATGACGCCCTAAAATGGATGATGGAATCAAATGGAACGCGCAAAGGGCCGCTGCCTGGAGGTCGCCAGGGCGCGTCTGGAGCTGGCGCTGGACGCGACAGCATGCGAACCGCCAGCCGAGCGCGAGGTGCTGCACGACCACCCAGCAGATCCTCGCATCCATCATCCCCACCAGCTGGCTTGGTGTCGGCAGGGTCTTCGCGGGCTCAGCAATCGGCACCCGCCACTGGTGGAGTACGCCGCATGCGTTGGACAACCCAGATGAACAGCAACGCATTGCGGGCGTATTTTAGGGCGAAAGGGGGAGAAACTGGAGGTTTTGCGTATCGGGCAAGGATGCATCGACTTTTTGCTGAGCTGGAGCCATCTGTAACCGTCACCGAGCAAAACCTGGCAGACCGAGTTCGGTATATCTTGCGCTCAAATACATTTGATGTCACCGAACTCGAACGGCTACGACGTGAGGCTGTTCCTTCATCGGGTGAAAATGCTGCGGCTGAGGATGCGGCGCCACAACTTGCTGAGCAAACGGCAAATGTGGATGCCGCCGTGAATACGCCAGTTGTGGTTGATTCAAACGATAATGGAACAGTCTCCCAGGAACTGGAACTAGAGCAAATGAGGAGTACATTGGAAGAGGCGATTGTGGAAACGCGCAGTACGACTCTCGAAAATCGACCGCGACTTCCCCCGCTTAGCCCTAAGCAAGCGGAATCGGGCTGTCGTGAGGGCTCTGAACCCAATGCTGGTTACCTATTTGGAAGCCAGCCGGGACCTTTGCGATACGGACTCAATTCTTTTTGGCGCCGCACTGGCAGTCTGCCGTATTATAGGTGCCAAACTTTCCACGGCTGGGCGCGCTACTGGACAAAGTAGTGCTATCCCAGCCTGGAGAATAAGAATTGAAGAACGTATCGCAAAGGCTAGGGCCCTCATCGGCAGACTGATATGCTTCAGGTCAGGCAATACCAGGCCAAGGATTGTGCGCACCGTCAGGATGGCGTTTGCTGGGACAAATGTTAGTTTGTCCCAGCCGGATATAATGCAAAAACTGACGGAGCGCATAGACGACCTGAAGCAAAGAATAGCTGCTTGGGGAAAGCGGATTCGGCGATATACCGAGAGGTCGACACGGTTCAACCAGAATCGTCTCTTCCAGAGTGATCAGAAGAGGCTCTATAAATCAGTGGAGCGACCAATAGTAAGTGGAACGGGCCCTGCACCAAATCAGGCCGACATGGTCGCATTCTGGCGCAGCCTGTGGTCAGAGCCCGTAAACCACAACGAGGGCCCTTGGACGGAAGTTGTGGCGAGTCAGTGTGCGAGTATTACGCCCATGGACCCCGTCATCATAACGCCGGATGACGTAGCTGAGGCGGTCCGTAGGGCCCCGAACTGGAAAAGTCCGGGGCTTGACGGGCTGCCTCACTACTGGCTGAAGGGGTTCATGGTGTGTCACTCTGTGCTCGCCCGACAGTTTCAAGAGGCTCTCAACCAGAAGTCGCTCCCAAGCCTCTTCACTACTGGGATCACTCATTTGGTTCCTAAAGATCAGGGTGCCACAGACCCGAGCAAATACCGCCCCATCACGTGTCTACCGACCATATACAAGACACTAACATCCATTTTGAGCGCAAGAATCGCTCGTCACCTGGACTTAAATCAGGTGATGTCGCGCGCTCAAAATGGATGTCGGGGCGGCGGTCGTGGAACCAAGGAACCACTCCTCATTGACGCGGTCATTGGCAAAGTGGTGAAACGCAACCGTCGGAACTTTTCCGCCGCCTGGATAGATTACAGAAAGGCATTTGACTCGGTGCCCCATACATGGCTAAAGAGGGTCCTCGAGCTGTACAAGATTGACTGTACAGTTCGAGACTTCCTCGGGCAGTGTATGGGGCAGTGGAGTACGATCCTCTGTCATCTAGGCGAGCGGATGACGGCTGCGGAAAGCCGCATAAGGATAAGAAGGGGTATATTCCAGGGCGACTGTCTGAGTCCAATCTGGTTCTGCCTCTCTTTGAACCCTCTCAGTACTTTACTGGAGGGCTCCGGGAGGGGATTTCAGCTTCGGAAAGGAGGTACAAAAGTGACCCACCTTTTCTATATTGATGAGCTCAAATTATTCGCCTCCAGTCGCTCCCATCTTATGGAATTGCTAAACATCACGTGTGAATTTAGCAATTCTATTAGAATGGAGCTGGGGACGGATAAGTGTGCGGTCCTCCATGTTGAAAGGGGAAGGGTTGCTAACTCTGAGGGCATAGACTTATCTATGCCCGTCAACTTAAGAACCCTTTCCGAGGCTGAAACATACCGATACCTGGGTATGTCACAGAACATCGGTATCGATGAGGCTGGTATGAAACAGTCAGTTTGCGACGTGTTTTATGCACGCTTGACCAAAGTGCTTAACAGCCTTTTGTCCGGTGTGAATAAGGCACACGCATATAACGGTTGGGTCATGCCTGTCCTCATGTATACCTTTGGCATGCTCAGGTGGACTCAGACTGAACTTAACGCCCTGGATAGAAAAGTCCGCACTACCATGACGTCCCATAGGATGCATCATCCGAGATCGTCGGTAATGAGGCTGTACTTGCCGCGGAAGCATGGTGGTCGTGGCTTCTTGAGCGCGCTCACCATGCATAATCGCGAAGTGTGCAGCCTCCGTGATTACTTCCTTGCGAGATCGGATGATCCATTCTATAAGGACGTCATTTCTTGTGATAAAGGACTTACCCCTCTATCCTTAGCCAACGAGCAATGGCAAGACCCGGCAGTGCAGAGCATTTCCGACCGGGAGACCGTATGGAAGGAGAAGGAGCTCCACGGGAGGTTCTACAAGGCTCTACATGAGCCTTTCGTAGACACAGTAGCCTCCCTCCACTGGCTACGCTTTGGTGATCTCTTCGGGGGAAACCGAGGGTTTTGTCTGTGCAATACAGGATCAGGTTATTAAGACCAACAACTATCGGAGATACATCCTAAAGGATGGCACCGTCGACATCTGTCGAGCTTGTCGCCATCCCGGTGAGTCACTTAGGCATGTTATCTCCGGTTGTTCGGCGCTTTCTAACTCTGAGTACTTGCACAGGCACAACCTAGTAGCCAGAATTCTACACCAGGAGCTCGCTCTGAAATACGGTCTCGTGGATCGGAAATTGCCGTATTACAAGTACTTGCCGGAAGCCGTGCTCGAAAATGACCGCGCCAGGCTCTACTGGGACCGGGCCATCATCACAGACAGGCCTATTCTAGCGAATAAGCCTGATATTGTGCTGATGGACCGGGCACAGTCAAGGATATTTTTGGTCGACATTACCATTCCGTATGACGAGAACCTCGTGAAAGCCGAAACAGACAAGCAAACAAAATATCTGGACCTGGCTCACGAGGTGACCGACATGTGGGGTGGTCTGCCGACCGAAATTATTCCTGTAGTCGTCTCTGCAAACGGGCTAATCCCAGTCAGCCTCTCGGGTCATCTGAGGCGGCTGGGACTACGTGGCGGACCGCTCCAGGTTCAAATGCAGAAGGCGGTGCTCCTCGATACCGCCCGCATCGTCCGCCGGTTTCTTTCCCTTTCCCCCTAACCCTCGGCCGTTTGGTCTCCCCTGCCGAGGGCCTCCATCTGGTTGGGCTTTTACTTATTTATGTACTTTTATATTTATTTTATGTTATTGATATTTATGTATATTTATCTTTTCATTTTCATTTATAATTATATATTTATAGAACCCAACCAAATGAGAAAACTATATAGATACCCCACAATAATAATAATAATAATAATAACTTGGGAGAACACTACAACTAATAGTTGTACTCATGGCAGCCCAAGCTTAAATGAATGTCTAAATTTTTGGAAAAGTATGTGGTCTAACGAAGTTTCTCATAATGAAGGCGAATGGATTCGTGCAACCGAACGTAAGTTTTCTAAATTGGCTAACATGGGTTCTATTTCAATTACTGCTGAAGATGTACACTCAATTACTCGTAGATTACACAACTGGAAATCACCTGGACCAGATGGTATACACAACTTTTGGCTGAAATGGATAACAACTAGCCACGTGCGTTTGGCTGCACAGATTCAGGAAGCCATTGAGTGCTGTGAGCTCCCGAGACTTCTTACAACTGGTATTACCCACTTACTATATAAAAATGGAAACACCACGGAACCTAAAAATTACCGACCTATAACATGCCTTTCAACTGTATACAAATTAATAACTGCAATTTTGAATAACAAGATCTATAAACATTTGGAAAATAATAACATTCTTTCAACTGCACAGAACGGATGTCGGAAAGGGTCACGTGGTTGTAAAGAACTTCTTCTCATTGACACAGCTATTTGCCGACAAGTCTTTTGTAATCGCAAAAATATGTCCGCTGCTTGGGTGGATTACAAAAAGGCATATGACTCAGTTCCACATTCATGGCTAAAGAGAGTTTTAGAAATATATAAAATAGATGACAAAATTTGTAAGTATTTAAGTAAATTAATGGGTCAGTGGAACACTATTCTAAATCTACCAGGTGAGTGGCAAAGTAGTTCGATAGACTCTATAAATATTAAACGGGGTATATTCCAGGGCGATAGTTTGAGCCCAACTTTGTTTTGTTTAGCCCTGAATCCTTTAAGCACTGCTATTGAGGACTCCGGATTAGGGTTTCGGTTTCGAAAAGAAAACTCACCGATCTCACATCTACTTTATATGGATGATCTCAAACTATTCACATCAAAAGAGAGTAATCTACTATTATTGTTGAAATTAACACATAGTTTCAACAATGATATTAGAATGGAATTTGGAATAGATAAATGTGCTGTCATTAACGTAAATAGAGGCAAAATTAAAGATTGTGATAATTTAGCAATTACAAATGACTTACATTTCAGTTCTCTTTCTGAAACAGAAACCTATAAATACTTGGGCATGGCAGAAGCACTAGGAATTAATGACAAAAATATTAAAGAAAATTCAAAAGTAAAATTTATGTCAAGGTTAAAAAAAGTTATCAAAAGTCATTTATCCGGCGGAAACAAAATTAGAGCATATAACTCCTGGGTAATACCTAGCCTTCTATATACTTTTGGTGTTACAAGATGGTCTCAAACGGAATTGGATGACTTAGATAGACGAGTCCGTACATTAATGACTACGCACAGAATGCACCACCCACGATCATCTGTCATGAGGTTGTATCTTCCAAGAAAAGATGGTGGCGGGGCTTATTAAACATTAAAAACCTACACAACCGTGAAGTATACAACCTCAGAGACTATTTTATTAAAAAAAAAAAAGACACATCACACATTCATAATGACGTAGTGATTAATGACAAATCATTAACCCCGCTTAATATGTCGGCAAAGGACTGGCAGAGGCCTCATACTATATCTATAGATGAACGCAAAAAGGTTTGGAATGACAAACAACTGCATGGTCGATTTTTTAAAGCATTGACTAATCCTTATGTAGACATGGTTGCATCAGTACATTGGTTACAATTTGGTGACCTTTTTGCAGAAACTGAAGGTTTTATCTGTGCAATACAAGATGAAGTAATTAAAACGAACAACTACCGGAAATACATTTTGAGGGACGGCACAGTTGACGTATGTGGCGCATGTCACCAACCTGGAGAGTCCCTCAGACATGTTATTTCCGGTTGTTCACAACTATCAAATGGTGAGTATTTGCACAGACATAACCAAGTAGCTAGAATAATACACCAACAGCTTGCCATTAAATTTGGCTTTACTCAACAGGATGTTCCTTATTATAAGTATGAACCAAAGCCAGTCCTTGAAAATAGAAGTGTCACGCTGTACTGGGATCGGTCAATTATCACAGACAGGTTTA